TACGAAATGATGACTTTAAAAGGCCTACAGACCTCGACACTCACCTGCGAAATATAGTCGTTTGGCCCGTTTTACAAAAGGACTAACGACTTAAGACTAATTTTAATTCTTCATACAATTTTTTAATCAGATTTATAACAAAATTATTTTAAACTTTTAAAAAAGAATGTGGTAAAATCTTTTTACGCAGACAATTTTAAAGAGAATCATTAAATTTGCAAAAAAATTACAACAATCTGAAGGTTTTGGTCTTAGTTGTAAGTTCTTTGCAAAAACGGGCCCCTAAACAAAGGCGACCATGAATTGAATAATTTACAATCTACCTTTGAGCTTCATGTTATATGACTTTATGTTTTTTATCAAATGTTCATAATACTGTCAGTTTAGCATTGTTTACACATTTTACAAAATAATATTCAACAAGAATAGTAAGAAATAAAAAAAATACATACATGGCGATTTTAATTTTCACTTACGACTGAAACATCTTAAACCTATATGTTTAATACTTAATGATAAATAATGTCTTCTGAAATGAGATTAACGAGAGAAAAAAATCTTTCACAAAGAATTATTTTATTATCTCTATTGTTGACTATAGTTTACTCTAGTACCAAAGTTAAAACTCTAAAAAATTGATTTACTTTAGTAAAAAGTTTTAAACTCTGATTAATTATAGCGTAATATAGTTAACATGTATTTTTGTAAACATACTTTGTACTCCATTGCAGTCAATTTGAATAAGCTACGGCACAAATCTAAAATGGGTCAAAAGGTGAAGTCAGTAAAAACAGGTGTATGACAGGGGAGAACATGAGCTCCATGAACCAACTGCATGTGCTTAATATCTAAAAAAAATTTTTTTTAGTAATTCAACACAATTTATAAGTAAATTTCACTAGAATTGCAAGTTTATATCCCTTGTTAAGTGTGACACGAACTACTCATCATTTTAGCCAGTAAACATAATGATCACTAATCATTACGAAAGCTTTACAAGGCACACTAGTATGATAAACTAGGCTTACTTTCAGTATAGATTCATTTGAACTCATTTACCCGCAAAATTAATTAAAAACATCATTTTAACACTTCTTTCGGTTTAATTTTCATACGTTTATATTGATATACAAGTGTGAAAGTAACTAAATATTCATTTTGGCAAATGGACCAGGCGCAGATCCATGTTGTTTTTCCAGGGGCAGGGGAGATTCTGTGGAGAGGTGATAATCTTTGTCAAGAAAAGTTCACTTAAGAAATATGTTGGCAACCCCCCCCCCACCCCCCCAAGAAAAACCGTAAATTAGATCAAAAGTTAAAAACCTATCCCTTAATGGATAGGTTTGACATTTCACTCCTTATGCTTCATATGTTTTGCCTCTATCACCAACTTTACACAGGTCCGCCTTTCGAGGCGGTATGCGATTTCTTGGGTTTGTGTGTGTGTTCCATGATAACTTTTTGCTTGATATTGTATATAATATAAATGAAACAACTGTGAACATTCCGGAAGGCAGACCCCCCCCCCCCCACCCGGATTCCCCCTAGATCTGCGCATGTCGATATTATTATATTTATTTGACTAAATGTATTGTGTATCGTTTACAATTTTTGATATCAATGACAGTTATTATTAAGGAATATGACGTCATAGTAGGCTATATGACGTGAAGTTAAGAGATAACAATTTCTTATAATCGATATCTAAGATTGATTTGAGGTCGTAAAAATTAATCAAAATATGCAGAAGCATAATACAAACAGAATTTTGTCGTTTCTGGGTCTCTGTAGTTATCACAGTGGTTAAATACCAAACCTGTGACGTCATAACAGTTGATCATGCAGTAGCAGAGTGAAAGTGAAACGTAACGAGAATTCATGTAAACAAAGAAATCGGATTTTAAAAGCATTTAGAATGAATATCATGTGTGATTCATGTGGGAATAAAGCTTATGAATAAGGTATGGTAATATACTTCAACAATTTCTTCGTAAAATTAAAGCACGGAGGGTGTTTACTTGCCGATCAGCCTTTCCTCTGTCGTTCGTAACAAACAAGATGCAAAAGCTCAACACTACGCCGCACATTTTGAAACTTAATTTTTGTTTTTATCTAAAGTTCTTATTCTATTGTTTTTGGAAAGTGCTGCTAGAATCGTATGGTTTACGGGAATTAATGCATTTTTTCGATGTTATGAACAAAATGTAAAAATTTTGGGAAGGTTTCGTCAGAAAGTGTTGAATAATTATTTCTGTGATAGGACAGTAGGATTCTAGCAACATTTTTCATGGTACAGAGATGTTTTTACATAAGTATTATTACAAATTGAAATTAATTTTCCCCGGGGTAGTGTTGAACTTTTCACTTTTTCATTTAGGCATATTTTCTAATTATAGACGTCACTTGGTGACGTCGTGGTGAAGTGCTTCATGTAGTATATGTCCCATTGAAGTCTATAGAATGCATAATTATTACAAAAGTTTTAAGCTTGACTTTTCCGATATATTAGTGTTACATAATTATAAAAAAAAGTCTTAATTCGCCGAATTCTGGTCCATGTGCTGCCTTAACATACCCGCGCCTGCAAAAAAAACATTGCTTTCCGCCCCATTGGATAGTTCTTGATTGTCCTTTGTTCCAAATCAAATGAACAATCCCGGTAAAGCTGTCGGTAACAAGCATGGCAATGTTTCTGTTTCACCAGCCTGATACATGTAGTTAGGATTTATATTATTGTGAATAAAAAGAAGGCTGCTAAACCAAAAAAAAAAAAAAAAGGGTTAAATGTATCCGTGAGTGTTTTGCGGAGTGCTCTGATTTAACAACGGATTTTGAGGATTTACCTGTGGTTATGCAAAGCGTTGAAATCCTTTTCAGTGCAAGAAAAACGTCAAAATAATTTTTCAATAAAAATGAATTACGGAACATTTGTTATGGGTTAAAAAGAGAATAGGAAGACTGACATCGCAAAAGACTTAGAGGATAATGAAAGTAACGATATTCATAAAGCAGTTTCGATCTAGAGATCTGAAAAAAGGACTTCAGAGAATTGACCATCAACTTTCTTTTTTGAGAAACGAATTGGACAGCGTTGGCACTGCAGTACTGGGATATTAAAACTCCAAAAGGTTGCCGAGGAAGTCTTGGTTTAAAATAGCTATGCACTCATGCAGAATCATACTCAGATTTTATAAGTGATCGAAAGAAGATTGAAATAGCAGAAACCTTAAGACTTAGAGCAACCCTTGTTTCTCTTCTTGCCTTTAAAACAAAGGACTTTTTTAAGAGAGAAATTGTAATAATGAATGTTCCACGATGTTTATCAAATAACTTCTTATTGTGTGTTAAATAAATTAAACAGATATGATCATGATTATTTTCATACCAAAGTTTATGCATTGCTTGATTCGTTATGATAGATAATTTCTTGCTTGAATGTTGATGCAGTGTTACAACGCACTTTGAAAAATTACGCAGTTTGAAAAAAAAATCAAAGTGCGTTAAATTTCGGACCAAGCTATTATTATTAATGTAAAAGGGGGACTAAAAGTGAACGACTTAAAGCATTGAATTTATTTTAAGAAATGGGGGCAATTTGATTCTTCAAAAATATGAAAGTACTTTCTCTCTCATTAGTTTTACTGTATTTAAATTTATTTAGTTTTTCATCCGTATTGAAAGTTTTCAACGCGCGTCATACCATTATGTAAATACATATTATACATACATGTACCTGTTTGGGGTATATACATGAAGCATAGGCATCGAAACTGGGCGAAGACAAGAAGAGGGGGCTAAGCCTCTCCCCTTACTTTGGAAAGACATACATCATATTAACATTGAAAATGCGGCTTATCCTTTTAGGGTTTATTACTCCCCTCCCCCTTTTTGGTTACTGACGCCTAAGAATTGGAATGATAAAGATTTGGACTGATAGATATTCTATCCGTCTTCCCCTCTTCCCGACGGGAGTAAATCAATGCATAAGTGTTTTGAACGATAAATTACAAATAAAGTATTTCCATTACTAAAATCTGAATCCAGAATTTTTTGTTTTTGCATATTTTTTTAAAGTGCATTAAGTTTCTCCATGATAAAATATATTGATGTAAACTCTTAACGCATTTTGAAAAAAAATTCAAAGTGCGTTGAGTTTTTTTCAAAGTGCGTTAATTTGGTCCCAATTTTAACGCACTTTGAAATTTTTTTTTCAAAGTGCGTCATTTTTTCAAAGTGCGTTGCCACAATGCAGTCTGTATAATGTTGAGTCGAGTGACATGGGGCTAAAGAGCTTAATTTTATTTCTTTCATATTGACAACTGTACTTAGCTATGGTAGGTATAAAATATAAAAAGAATTATCCATATATATTCAAAAAATATATTGGCAAATTCTTTCTTTAAACCTTAATGGAAACAAACCCACAACAAACCGGTTTAAATAATGTATCAGGTATCAAAATGATATTGCTAAAGTGTAAATAGAAAACTAAATATTAATGATTGAAATTGAGAATAAAACGGGGAAAGGGATTGAATGTATATGTATTTCTGCTTCTAAATCATGTGAGTGATTCTGAAAAAATTTGCTTTTTTTTTGCAATTGAATGCAATTATATCTAAATTATAATATTCTTTGATAATTTTCCTCCAATGGTGATCAGGATTGGATTCCGTACACATGCACCGGATTTCACCAATGAGTTTATAAAAATACAAACAGAGGGAATGGAGTGCCAATTTTTTCCCGTTATTTAAGAAAATTTCATTTAAATGACTTTTGAATGTGTCATCCAAAACTTTTTATGCATGTAATATGACAGTTCTACATAGAAAGTTTAATCTTAAATTGTGATACCTCTTTTTTTAACATAACACTGAGTGATTTACACAAGTGCACATGTGTTGTTTTTTTTTTTATTCGATGAGAAAATATTTAATTGTTAAAAACTCAGCCTGCACTAAAGATTTATATCAGCCGGTAATATATAAATAGTCGAATTTACCTACTGTAAACAACCCCTTTTACTTCCTAGTTTGGTGAAAGTGAAATGGCGTTTGTTTATGTTGCAGTCGTGTTTTTAGTATTTATAACTGGTTATACTTCTGGGTATGGTAAGTCTTTTTTTTTATATTGGAAAATGTAAACGGGAAACAATAAGACAGGTTTTCACTAGCATCAGTAGATGTACATACTCCCTCTGTAAGGGATATATTCTCTCACATGAGGTTGATCTATGTACACTGAAAAGCAAAATACATGTTCACAGTATTCACATTGCGAGAGAGAAAAGAGACATGTAAGTGGGCATATCTTATAAAAATATGAATTGTATTATCATAAAAGTTAAAGCAAGATTTTTTTAGTATTATTTTTCAACTTAACTTTGAAATTAGCTTATATTCATTTTTATACTGAAAGTAATGAAGTAGAAATAGAACGTTTTGTTTTTTCATTTTGCTATAATTGAGAAGATTCATTATTCGCCAACCTTGATGGAACATAAAAGCTTTGAGGTTTTTTTCTTACATGGTAACTTTAAAGAATATAAATCAGTTTTATTTCAATCAAGGAATTGAAGATGACAAGGATGGTTGGATTTGTCATTATTTGTTTGTTTTTTCTTTTTTTTAGAAAATATAGCTCTGAATAAACCAACATGGCAATCAAAACAGTTTAATCCTCCGAACACTTTTTTCAACGCCAGCAACGCTGTGGATGGACTGAAATCTGACTTAAGCGCGTGGGGAGGACAGTGTGTTATATCAGATAGTGGTCAGAGTAACGCCACCTGGTGGGTAAACTTGATGTCTGTTAAAAGTATACATGACATACGGATTTATTACAGAACGGACAATGTTGTGTGGGGTAAGTACACACATTTTGTAAAAACAAGCAAATATCAATGATGGACTTCTATTAAACTGACAACCAGTATTCTGTTATTATCAATTTGTATTGTTCTTTCGTTAATATTTAAACTAAAGGGGGCCGACAATAGTTTTATTGTGTGGAAACTACAGTAGCGAACCTCTTTTTTATACCATATATAACTAACATTAACTTCAGTGTACATGCAAAGTTTGGGGGAAATCTACTGTCAAGGTATTTTTGAGGGACCATCTCAAAATACAGATACATTTACTGTAGGATTATATAGGGAAATGCCAGTCTTTAGCACTTTACAGAAAATTATACGAATACAACAATTCACATTTCGTTCAATCTTTATTTTTTTTTGAGTAAAACTATATCATACAATATATCTAATAAACACAAAATTCTACCGTCTTGTTACCAGAAGAGGCATCTCAAAGTGCAAAAAAAAGCAAATTTTACTATTTTATAGAGTATTACAGAATATGACGTTCACAAAGAATTCACATGAAAACATAATAAAAAATATTTTAGATATTCTCAAATATTTATATGTAAAATATCAAGAGCCTATTTTTATATCTTTTTTGTAAATAAATAAATAAATAATAATAGTTTTATTATCCCTTTCTCTAAGAGCTACAGATTATCATAACGTCAAAAACACACTGCAACGACGTCAACCTACCTATCAATTGCAGAATCGTTTAAAAAATTAGTTATATCAAATTGTAATAAAATTTTTATACCTATAATTTCTTAATTTTGTTTAAATTTTGATAATCAAGCGAAAAAGGTTGCATTAAAACAGTAAATACGCTTCATTTTACTATGATGTGCAAAATATTGCGCAGTGGAAACTATAGTCGCCCCCCTTAAATGAATTCTGAGTTTTGCTTGCTGCAAAAGGACATGAAATCAAACACAGTTAAACTCGTAGGAATAAATAATATTTTTTATATATGTATTAAACAACCCGCATCTATGCTATTTATTTACATGAACATAAGTATTTAAATGCAAATGCATATCCCGAATATGTATCCAACACAGTAACTTTAAGCTTATACGTATCTGGAAAAAAAAATTGTACAGGTCTTATGGAGTTGGGTTTGTCTAATAACTACGCAGCTCCCTTCTGGAAACTGCATTCCACGTTAGGATTCCCATGAGAGAAAAACACGTACAATTTTTCATTCTTAGAGTAAATTGGCATCTTAATCTACATGTATGGTCAAATGAATGTTAATTTTCCAAACATGGACTTTTATTTTACTCTTGTAGACTGAACTACAGTACAGTTAAGGTTAGCAATGGAAATATAGGCGATTTTTTAAGATAAAAAATACATACTTTATTAGGATTGGCGATTCTTTTTAGGACTTCATTGATATCTATAGGTCATCTATAAATTCCAATATTGCAAAGGTATAATCAAAATTAAAATCTTAGTTTAATTTATAATTCTTTTCAAAACTTTATTTACTTTGTGAAAAGTACTGCGAACCTATATAGATTACCTTATTTAATAGTAAAATTTAATATTTTGAACAGTACGAGGGCTAAAAATTATTTTAAAAAAATCACTATAACTCTATAAAGAGCAGAGACAAATTAAGGAAAATTTGTCAACATTTTAGAAAGAAAGAAAAAAAGAAATAAGCAAAATTTCTCCTTCATAGGATAATTAGATACGTTCTGCTGAAATTATACACATGCATATGTTTATCAGCCATGAGCAGCATCGCTACGTCAATTTATCGTCACATCAGCGAGATGTTTCCGCATGTGAACCAATCGATTGGTTCACGTGTTTTTTTTTCTTCCTTGTCATATATCATATTACAAAAAATCCAACTTTATCTTTTCTTAAACGATTTAAAAAAATACGTGCTGTTGCTACATCAGTGTAAACTTTTTTTTTATTTGTCATACATGTAGGGTGACTTTGCATCATGCAGTGCCGATATACGCAACACGGGTCAACGTTGCTGATTATGTTAGTTAGGTCAAAATTGATAGTCATCCGGAGGATTTCATTTTACTGTGGTTAAATCAATGGTCAGAAAATAAAAATATAGCAATGAAATAACAATCTTAAACTTGTGCAGTATTTTTGTTATTGTTTTATCAGGTTGATCTGCCTGGAAAAGAGTAATAGAGAGCTCTTTACAAAATTTTAAGTCTCTTGCTGCTCTGCCTTGAGGTTAAATTCCATTTTTTCGTCGTTGTCAGAATTCTTTATTGCGCTTAATTTTTTTTTTTCATGATTTTCATATTTCTGATCAAAATTCTAACAAATTTATACAAAATGCAGTCAAAATCAAATTGAAAAATTATAAACAGAAATTGAATTAGTATCGCCTTTATTATGGGTGCACCGTTGGTTTGCACGTTGTTGTTATATATTCTAAATATCTGATTTCGTGACTGTGCCGGGTACCCCTACCATTGACATATTTATTTACCACTGAAGAGAAGAAATTAAATATTTGTAAAACTTTTAGTGTTTTCCAATTTCCATCGAAAGTCGTTCATTAGAAAGAAAAATATACATAATGTCTCAATAATTTCCAAATAACCCTCGTATATTGAATTATTTGCTGGACAACTAAATTAAATATTAGCTATAATTAATTCATTTGCAAGATTTCATAAGGTTCGCAGCACTTTTAAAATATCTTCTCGAGTTTATGTGTAAAAACATGACAGGACAAGTTGAGAATATGCCCTTGCAATACATCAATTTATCAGGGTCCTTCTATTACTTTTTCAATGAATTTGCATAAAAACACTCGACATTATCACTTGTCGTTGAATATACGGACAGCATATATATATAACATAGTAAACTAGTGTTGATTGTAACGGGGACCCTTACAGATGTTCCCCAAACGCTCCCCAAATCCCTTTTTGTGCTTTATTCCTACAAGACATTTTTTTACGAAATATGATCAGTATCGAATGATTTCATCACAAAAGCAACAGTGATATCAACTATATGTCATTCAACGAATTGTTCACGCAAGCACATGCATGATGATCATAGCATGTTGTCTATACCATTTACATATCTATATTTTGTGAGAATCAATTTTTAAAAAAAATCTTTAAAATATACATGCTATTGCTCTTCAAATATATTGGTCATTTTGCATATTTCGCGCGCACACGTGCATGCATGCATGTTGTGCATTCAACTTTGATAGTACCATATTGTAGGAATCCATTACACCTATGTTATTCAAAATTATTCCCATTTTGTTGAAGCTAAGAAAGTCATAGGCATTTAAAGTTTCAGCCAATCAGATTGCAGCACACATGGATTTACGTGCTTTCCTGATAATTCTTATATATCATGCTCTAGATCTTAATAATGTAAAAGCATGTTGCAAATTTCAAAGAATTCTGTCAAAGAAACAAGAAATATATTGAAACTTTAGTTTCAGCCAATCAGAGAGAACTGCACATGAATGCACGTGAGATCTTGCTATTTTGACTATGTCCTCTTGTCTATGCTTCTAATACATCCTTTTATCATGAATTTCAAAGCATTTCATAAAAAAATGTTTAAAAGTTATATCTATGTCAGTTATATTGGACATTTCTCGTGTTGCATGTGCACACTCTTGCAAGCACACGTGTATTTGCATGCTTTCATTATAATTCTTATACATCAAGCTGTAGATATCCCAAATATATGGCTGTGTTCAAAATTTCAAAGGATTTTATCAAAAAACAAGAAAGATATTGATACTTTAGTTTCAAAAAATCAGAGCGAAGCACATGTGCATGCGCGCGAAATGCCGCGTTTTTAACCATGTCATCTTGTCTATGCTACTTATATATCCCCATAATATGAGTTTCAAAGAATTTCATCAAAAATTGAAAAAGTTACGTCTATATCAATTTTACTGATCATATCTCATATTGCACGTGCGCTCTTGCAAGCACGTGCGCAATTGACCTTTGTTCGGCAAATCTACATAACATGTCTCCTGACCCTAAAAACATTTCACCTTAGTCGGATGTGTAGTTTACAAGATCACTCGAGTACAAAATTTTGCCAGGAAGAAGAAGAAAAAATAATAACTAGAAACGGTCTCGTTGCGAGCACCGAGTAGTTCTTCCGTCCGTTTTTTTCGATAAGATGAGATATGATTTTGACTATGATCTTTGATAAAAAATTTAATTGATAAGGCTTGTAACTTTAAAGATTTTTTTGCTCAACAACGTTTCTTTTTCTTTTTGTTTTCAAGCTATGTAGAATAGAAATATATAGGTTCCGGCCCCTCAAGTCCCTAAAGTGGTCGTTTTGCAAAAATTGAATGGTTATATTGCTAAGAATACGATTTTGAGCATCTTTTATGCAATACTCCTTATCAAAATATTTCTCCTTTCCGAGGTATAAAGAAGCAAATATTTAGCATTTTGGGAGCTTATGGCCCCTTATTACGTAACATATGATAATATTTTTGAAATGTATGGTTGCAGATTGTTAAGATAAACATTTTCGCTTCAGAAATGTATAACAAAATCTTGATAGTTAAAAGTTATAAATCAAAACGTTTTGGCCCCTATTTGCCCCTTATTTTAGAGGTCGGACCCTTTTTCTTCTTGTCAAATGAAAGAAATTGTAATTCTGAACAACTTTTATTTTATATCCTTTAAGGTAAGTCACTCGTCAGCTTTTTAGAAAAGTTCACGCAGAAGCTTTTACTTCAAAACTACTTACAGTACCCGCATCGTTATTCTTTACAGGATACACGATACGATAGGATACATGCACGATACGATAGGATACACGCATGATACGATAGGATACACGCACGATAGGACAGGATACACGCACGATAGGATAAACGCAAAACACGATTAACGCAAAACACGATAAACGCAAAACACGATAAACGCAAAACACGATAGACCTGATAAACGATCTACACGATAGGATAAACGCAAAACCTGATAGGATTGTTTCAAAATGCGGA